GAGAGAGTGGGCCCTCCAACAATGTGTTGGAAGGAGAATGGGCCCTAATAAGGGATTGCGACCTTGAAAATATGCCTGTGTCCAAAGAAGAACTCTCATTAAATTAAAAACAGTGCCATTTGGTACATATGCCCTTGAAAAAGACAAACTCCTTTCCGTAATGTTTATTTTTTTCTTTTTTTTGTAAAATAGTCAGTAGTATCCATAACAACATTCTATACATATTCTGTAACTACAAACCACCTATTCTATAAATCAAATATTAAAATTGTTGAATAATAATAATTTCTTATTTTCTTTGGTATTTTTTGTTATGTACAGATATGCAATGATGATTGCTGAGTAATATGTGTGTTGATGTTATCCAATGCCCAGTCTCTGATCATATGACATGACGATATGTGCACCACAGCATGCAGTAGGGCCTGTCATAATAGCGTGCATCGGGGCCCATTGTAACTACCTTACACCATTGAAACACTATCAACAAATTAGTGCTACTAGTTGTGTTTACACTTAATTGTGCGAAACTTTTGAAACGTTGCAAAAAAGACACATGAATTAGGCCCTTTTTTTATCCATTGGTCTGGAGCAAGTAAACTATACTCTGCAGAGTGTACTTTTGTCACAAGCTGGCATAAAGGCTATGCTTAGAAGTAGATGTTGCACAAAAAAAAGGTCACTTTGGTCATCTAGCCCAGAGACAAGAGAAAAGAGAAAAACATAGAGAGGTTTTGAGGACTTTGTTTCAACTGCACAAGTTTTAATAGTTGGTACTGACCATGTTTCCTGCTGTCTGGAGTCAACCCTTTTTGGACCAAGGCAAAAATCACCTCAAGTACCATAAAAATCTTTCTGGTCAATTGAGGAAAGTTTATCAGTTTTTTCCATTTTTATTTTCTAGACCTCAAAATGTGCATGAAAATACATTTATGGAAACACAGTCACCATTATGACCGTGGGGCTTGCTGAGATAAGACTCTCAGGTTCTATCAGGGATCACCACAGACATTAACCTGGCTAACATGCCCTCACATTTCTAAACGAGTTGATACTGAAGGATAACTACTGCAATGTTTACATGTTTCTACTCATTAGTTCCCCCAAAAAGCCTAAATTGATGGACATTTGCCACCAAGCGTCCATCTGTTTTACTAAGATGTGACGTTGCCTGCTGGAAACTTCTATTGTTCTCAAAACCAATTAAAGGCAGCTTGCAGAGACACTGCTGCCTTGACTGATATAATCCATCATAGTAAACAACACCTGTATTGTATTTTCTACTAACATCACTTCATAAAACCACAATAAAACCAAAGTGGTTCCTTTGTACCAGAGCTGGGGACAGATCACTGTGTGTCCAGCAGACATCACCGCCCACTTTGCCCTGAGTCCTTGTTTACCTTCTCTGCTACCACAACATAACAGTGGGCCACATGGGAAAATGTGACAAATAATGTCAATAAACATGATAATTAGCGGCAATAGGAGTGTTTGATGATGTTTTGATAATGAAGATGATGGACTGTATTCATTAGTGCAACAGTTTGTCTCTGTGAGATGTTTTTAATGGATTTTCAAAACAATAGGAGCCAATGACTTCAAACCTGCAGTAGAGCAAGCAGATAAAGTTGTTACTGAATTTCTCTACAAGATTAGTATTAGGATTATTATTAAGTGGGTTGAAGCTGTAATCCTTAAACCTAAAATAAATGTTTGGGGGTTTTTTGGCCACTTGGGGGGAAGCTGAAACAAGGGTCAAGGGATAATACTCTGAGGGTTCATCACAACCATAGACTCACATGTCTGACATGACTGTCCTCAGAGCAGGACATGGAGGAGCCATTACTTCAGGGTCTGAGTCTGCCATGGAGTTAACTGCCTGTTTAATGTGCCTAAAATACCTCCATAGGACGCATTTGTGGGCATCCTAATTAGATGTCCAAACAATCCCAACCAACCCCTTTCTCATTCCGAGGTCATCAAATACCCAAACCCCTTTGGCATCTGATACCGGCACACAAGGGACAATTATATACAGTATGCAATTCCACAATAACTGCACAATTCCATGTGCTGATGAGCCTGTCTTTCCCATATGGTCTAGCGGTCAGGATTCCTGGTTTTCATCCAGGCAGCCCGGGTTCAACTCCTAGTATGGGAATAGTACGCTAAAATTGAGTGTCAAACCAGCCTGGTTTCGTTGTAAAGTAATGCCTCCTTGGTACTCCCCTTTAGTATTTGTATGAGGCGCACAGGGCTTTCTACTAGCGCCAATGTAAACCCATCCATGGCAATATTAGACAGTTTAGAGCAAAACAGTCCACCTTGGAAAGAAGTCAAGGTGGATTGGGTAAAACAAACACAGGACTTTTACCCAGCAATGTATTTACCTTTAGTAATTATCTCTCTATATCACAGTTTTTATTGGCAGTGGTAGAGTTTGCCGTTCCAGAGCTGGATTCAGGTTGCCTGTCTAAGTAAAAAGATGCATGCATGTAATCCAACTAAATCTTATCTCACTGATATTCACTCTCTTTACAGCAACACGGGAGGTTTTTATTGTGAAGCAGCCACAGTGAGCTGTTAGATAAAGAGCCGCAGGCGACAGGCTACACACCTTCAACTCCTTAGTAAGGTAACCAACTTTACTGCGCCCTGCTGTTATGTGGAAAACTACTTGATTATTGACTGACTTCTTTATTATATAATGTAAATTTGATTGGCTTCACTGTCAGCAGATCGCCAGATGCTCTTATGTTACATTTTGGACAAAGCGGCTGCTTATCCAGTGGTAATGTGCTTAATGCTGTAGTGTTAAACTGTACTTGCTGTTACCACAGTAACCAGAGGAGTCGCCAAATCAACCACAACTAAAATTTTTAGGATTACAACTTTAAGTGTGAACGTTTTGGCATGTAGTAGAGGGTTAAGATGTTGAAGGACATTTGAAATCTTCACATGCACAGCAAAAGAGGCATATTTTATAGTATGTTAGTGCACACCTTAACCTGCTGCCTCTTATTTGTTACTGCTGAGGTACATGTCTTCATATTTAGCATTCATGAAGAAATGCCGCCAGCACAGATCTTACTAAGCCAGTGGCGGAGTGTTTGGTGTGTGTGTGAGTGTGTGTGTGTGTGTGTGTGTGTGTCCATGGTAACCACGTGGAGGAATGGTTCAGTTTGCCACCTGACTCTTTTGAGGCACGCCATCTGGTACCATGGTACAGAAATGTGTGTGTGTGTTTCACAAAGACGTGAGAACAAGTGTGCAGTTAGCTCACATATGCACACAAGATAGAAGCAGAGTGATGTGAGATATACCGTGTGCATCAACAGTTTATCACATGTACGTTTGGCTCTTGGGATATTACCAGTGCGTCTTAGGGGGGAGACAGAGAGAGTAATAAGGTGTTATCCACTGACCTTGCAGAGTGGCACCAGGAGGCGAAGCAATGCTGGTATTTAGGCACTCAACAGTGCCACAGGGCCAGTCATTTATTGTGTATCTGTGTTTCTGTGTGTGTGTGTGTCTGTGTGTCTGTTCACCCATCTGTTGTGTCCACCCCGGGGACAACAGCAGCAGTTCGGATTCTCTCACACACACACACACACACACACACACTCATGGAGAGATGGAGAAGGAGGGAGAGGACGGGTACATAGAAACAAATTCACAGATTGTGTTTATGATGAAACTGTGATAATTAAACATCTTTGAAGGAACTCCAGTGTGAGAGCAGTAAATAAAAATGCAGCAGCCCTGGAGCTAGTACAGAGTGTTTTGCTCCAGAACATTTCTGCAGGGCAGGTGTAATAATGTTTAATCTTAACTGTATCCATTTATTCATTAGTTTAATTAACATAAACACTGTCTGAGAAGACAGACTGTGCACTGCATTTTACATTATCTGCCATCTTGCGTGTCAGATTTTATAGAAAGCAAATAGATTGCTTCAGAGCGCAACAAGCACATCATTTGCGATAACAGCGTTGTGAGGACCGGGCCAGGCAGCCTGCCTGCAGGGGAGATGTGTATCAGCTGGACCGCAGACATCCAAGATTCAGTCGTTCCACTACGACACGATATCTGCAGGCTGGAGGTAACACATACATATGTGTGTGTCCTGTATAGTGACGCAACCAGAATGCCAAATGATATCACTGGGATGAGAAGGAGATTTTGTGGGGAAGCACAGGTGCCGCAGGGGTAAAGTTCAGACTTTGAGAGAGACCCAAAGGGACCAACAGAAACTAGAATCCCACCAACACAGACAGATTTTTCAGTGTCAGACAGTGTGTATTACTAAGATATGTTACCCAGAGTCAGTGCTGGCCAACATTCTCCCCTCTCCTTCCTCTTCAACATTTCTTATTAATGTTTCTGCTTATTTTGAATTGCCTTTCCCATGTTTTCTCCTTACCACATATTTCTATTGCATTCTGTTTACCACAAGATGTGTTGATTATGCATGTATTTTGACTTGACATGTGTTGTCTTGACCTTTCTTTTTTTTTTTTATTTGACACACTTTGTGATTGTTTTTTAGAGCCTAGTTATTGTGTAAAAATACTAATTATCATATTCAGCCATGCATCCACCCCTGTCTGGGTCCAGGACCTAATGGATACTCCTAGCAGGACATGGAGGAGCCATTCCTTCAGAGTCTGCCGTGGAGTTTACTGCCTGTTTAATGTGCCAAAAATACCTCCATAGGAGGCATTTGTGGGCATCCTAATCAGATGTTCATACAATCCCAACCAACCCCTTTCTAATTCCGAGGTCATCAAATACCAAAGCTACCAAAGCTAAAAGCTTGTTACATCTCTTTGGTGTCCGACACTGACACACAAGGCACAATTTTATGTACAGTATGCAATTCCACACTCACTGTGCAACTCCATGTGCTGATGTAGATCATGGGAAATGATCAAAAACTCCAAAACAACAATAACAGTATTTCACAAACAATTAATCCACACAAAGTGAGATGTCTTTCCCATATGGTCTAGTGGTCAGGATTTCTGGTTTTCACCCAGGAGGCCCAGGTTCAACTTCTGGTATGGGAACAGTATACCATAATTAAGGTTCAATCCAGCACTCCCAGTTCTGTCAAGAACCAATACTGTGGTTCAACCCTTTGGCATTTGTAATATAAACCCATCCGTGGCAATATTAGAAACTCAGAGCAAATGACTGCTTTTGAGCAAGACAGTCCACCTTGGAAAGAAGTCAGGATGGGTTGGGTAAAACAAAGGCAGGGGTTTCACCCAGGAGACCGCTGTTTGTGTCCTGTGTGAAACCAAAATCAGCGTCATCTTAACCCTGACCATGATGTTTTCCAAGCCTAACCAAGTAGTTTTGTTGCTGAAATCTACATTTCCTGTTAACACAGAAGTTTATTTTAAAAAAACTCTTTTCACTTGCTTGTATCCATAATCTCAAACAAAGGTGACCATAGGTGAGGACTGAAACGTCGATCAACTGGTAAATCCAGATCTCCGTCCACATACAGTCAGGTCCATAATTATTTGGACAATGTTACAGTTGTCATCATTTTGCCTCTGTACACCACCACAATGGGTTTTAAATGAAACAATGAAAACCTGCTTAAAGTGCAGACCCTCAGCTTTCATTTAAGGCTTTTTTCAAAAATGTAGTATGAACCGTGTAGGAATTACAACCATTTCTTCACACAGTCCCCCAACTTTAAGGGCTCATAAGTATTTGGACAAACTAACATAATCATCAATTAAACAGTCAATTTTAATACTTGGTTGCAAATCCTTTACAGTCAATGACTGCCTCAAGTGTTGGACCCATAGGCATCATCAGATGCTGGGTTTCTTCCCTGGTGATGCTCTACCAGCCCTTTACTGTAGCCGTCTGCACTTCCTGCTTGTGTTTTGGGTGTTTTGCCCTCAGTTTTGGCTTCAGCAAGAGAAACGCATGCTCAGTTGGATTCAGGTCAGATGATATGACTTGGCCATTGCAGAACATTCCACTTCTTTGCCTTAAAAATGTCTTTGGTTGCTTTTGCAATATGCTTCAGGTCAATGTCCATCTGCACTGTGAAGCATCGTCCAATGAGTTTTGAAGCATTTGGTTGAATCTGAGCAGATAATGGTGCCCCAAACACTTCAGCTTTCATCCTGCTGCTCTTGTAAGCAAGACAAGACTTCACTAGAATAAATACAGAGGGTTTATCACAAGATGCAAACCATTGGTTAGCCTTAAAAATGGAAGGCCAGATTAGAGTTTGTCAAAAACCATCTAAAAAGCCTGTACAGTTGTGGAACAGCATACTATGGACAGATAAAACAAAGATCAACTACCAGAATGATGGGAAGACAAGAGAAGGAAGAAGGGAAGGAACTGCTCATGATCCAAAGCACACCACCTCATCAGTGAAGCATGGTGGAGGTACTGTTATGTCATGGCCATGTATGGCTGCCAGTGGAACTGGTTCTCTTGTATTTATTGATGATGTGACTGCTGACAAGAGCAGCAGGATGAAAGCTGAAGTGTTTGGGGCACCATTATCTGCTCAGATTCAACCAAATGCTTCAAAACTCATTGGACGATGCTTCACAGTGCAGATGGACATTGACCTGAAGCATACTGCAAAAGCAACCAAAGACATTTTTAAGGCAAAGAAGTGGAATGTTCTGCAATGGCCAAGTCATATCATCTGACCTGAATCCAACTGAGCATGCGTTTCTCTTGCTGAAGCCAAAACTGAGGGCAAAACACCCAAAACACAAGCAGGAAGTGCAGACGGCTGCAGTAAAGGGCTGGCAGAGCATCACCAGGGAAGAAACCCAGCATCTGATGATGCCTATGTGTCCAACACTTCAGGCAGTCATTGACTGTAAAGGATTTGCAACCAAGTATTAAAATTGACTGTTTAATTGATGATTATGTTAGTTTGTCCAAATACTTATGAGCCCTTAAAGTTGGGGGACTGTGTGAAGAAATGGTTGTAATTCCTACACGGTTCATACTACATTTTTGAAAAAAGCCTTAAATGAAAGCTGAGAGTCTGCACTTTAAGCAGGTATTCGTTGTTTCATTTAAAACTCATTGTGGTGGTGTACAGAGCCAAAATGACGACAACTGTATCATTGTCCAAATAATTATGGACCTGACTGTATCTTAAGTCCCTCTTAACAGTCTTATACAGTGCCTGTCTCAAGCCTGGCTGCAAACCAGCCAGGCCGGCAGAACTAACTCGGCAAAAAGCAGAAATGTAATCCTGAGAACACCAAACTTGACACTCTCAACTGCACAGTTGCACATAGATAGTCTTTCCATGAAACTCACAAATAGAAATGACGACAGGGGACAGCCTTGGCTGTTTCCAACACCCACTGAGAATTTTTGACAAATCCAATCACAGCTCTCAACCCAGTTATAAAAGGATTGGATGGCTTGTCGCAATCGCCCCATATTCTTGTACTTTATATTCTCACAGCACCCCTTACAAAACATACCATGAGACATGGTCTCAAGCCTTGTACAAGTCCACAAAACACATGTAGACTGAATGGGCAAACTCCCATGACCTCTCAAGAATCTTTAAAGTATAGAGGTGCTCCACTGTTCTACAACCAGGACTGAGCATGCATTACTTAAAATGCACTTAAAGCCCCCAAACACTTACACTATCTGGTGTCAGCAGCCTACACAAAAACTAACTGACTTACTGAATGACTGACTGACTGGTGCAATGTAACACACACACACACACACACACACCACAGAATGAAGAAGAGTGTTCAGTGACACATAGTCCACCTTTAAAAGCCAAGGGAATGCATATGTCAACTGTGATAAAGACTTAAAATACTGCGAGTGAAGCACCATGAATTTATAAGATGCAAACACACACACATACACATGCACACAGAGATAAACAAGGGAACACATGTTTAATTCATAGCTTTAACTGAGTGGGACTTATCTGGTTTGTGGGGGCGGTGAAGATAACACACACACACACACACACACACACACACACACACACCCATACACAGACAAAAAAGCACAAAGAGATGCTCAAATGTAAGTTAACACATATGCATACACACAAACACAAAGATATCTGAATCCAGCCAAACACATAGACAAGAGGTGAGGTCTTACCATCCTCAGGGAGCAGGGATAAGACAGCTCAGAGACAAAGGAAATGTAAGATAATGATTTCACTGGCTTTCACTGGAGGGGGAACAGATTGGATTCATACACGGTTTCCAGTATGACACAGATAAAGATATGAGCCACAAACTGGCTCGGTCTTTTTGTGGGCATCAGGGATGCACACATATTGTGGCCAAAGTGGCTCGAGCTGCTGCCCATTTACCCTCCTCTGAATAAGCGCCCCTTTGGACCAAACAGATAACAATATTTATTATTTTGATATTGACATTATTATTGTTGTTGTTGCCACTGATGCCATTTTTTGGTCGATAGTGCTGGAATTCATGTAGAGCGACCATCGGTGTCAACAAAGAACTCATTGTTTCCCCCTATAACTTCCCTTTTTCTTTGTGTGTAATTTAACAAAATGTAGCTGTTTTATCATAATATGAGCTTTTTACTCACCAATTACAGTTGCTTTGTTTTCCTCAAACTAAGCTTAGACTGTTCGACTGTTTTGTTCTCAATTAGTTCTCAGTACACCACATGGAGCCTGTGTTTGTGTTTGGTTATGTTGTCAGTGTGTTTAAACTGTTAGGCTGAACCCTTGTAATGTGTTAAAAGATGTAGTGCTTACAAAATATTGTTGCTTATACTATGGACAGTCTTTCTTTCTGATTTAATCAAGTTGCATGAGATATCTTGGATTGTATTGGTGCTTTACACTGTACACGGGTAAGTGTTGATTGCGGTTAGTAAAGGCTAGTATAGTTTTTTGTTAAAGGAGTTGTGAGTCTGAGGCGGGATTGTCTGCACATGGTTCTCAACATGGAGGTGGATGGTGGTCAGCAGCTAACAGTGCTAAATCCATATACAGTGCTAACAACAGCAACAGTGCTAGCATTGTTAACTGGAGGAGAACCGCACAGTGGGCACTATGCTTTTTTAGCGACACTATCCTGGTAACAGTCATCACTGCCGTATGAGGACAGTGCAGCGCGGCAGAAATTAGCCAGCCAATGGGATACACTCACAGGCACTGGGAAGCGAACTGTCTACCACAGCAGGCTGTTCTCATGCTCTGTTCATACATTTTCTTATGAAAAGTAATGCAACCAACTGCATACATATACCACAGAATCATGAGCCATTACTTTGTGTATAACTCACATATTTTGGAATGCTGTGATCACATGACCAATCCACAGGAGACTGGTGTTCGGAACTGTGTGAACTTTTAGGGACCTTTGGGTAATTTTAAGGTGCGTCCTCACCATGTTTCTTCTCCCTTAACCTAATCACAGTAACTTTACTTGCCTAAACCTAACCTCCGTAACTTTACGCTGATGACGCTACTTTACATACAGGACGTAATGTCAGTCATGGGGCGCTAGGATATCATACAAACTGTTGTATGAGGATACACTGACCTCCACAATGAACAGCAAAACCCAGATAAAACCCACGCAGGGGTAGCGTCTTCATTCTCTGCTGAGCACATCATTATTCTACTATATCTTTACATAGCAAATAATGGTTTGCTGCTATATTAATGATCTAAACATCGCATACAGAACCTTTAAGGATATAGAGAGACATATAAGCCACCACAACAGCCCTATAACAGCAAAAAGGTTGAGACATTTCTGTTGTTTTTTTCCTGTTACTGTAGGTTAAGTCATACAATCTTTTGTTGATCGTCCACACATGGTGTTGGTTTGCTTCTTGACTCTTAAAAATTCACTCTCAGTCAAATTCATATCTAACACAAGAGACACTTTATCATAATGTTATTAGACTAAATGAAGTTATAAAAATATCGGGTGATTTGGAGCAACAGATAGTTTTTGGTATGTTATCTGCTTATGGACAAATTCCTGTGAAGGCCAGTGAGTCTTCATTAGGCTAAATTAATGATATGCATATAAAA